CACAGGCCATGTTTCCTGGTGGCTTATGAACTGAAAAGCATTGGGTGAAATTGATGGAACACACGCAGGTATCCAGGAAGCCAAGCTTCTTGGCTCTGGTTTTCTTAAGGCAGGCTCTGCTGATCAGGCAGGCTCTGCTCAGTTGTTTCCAAGAAAGGGCTGAGTATCCCACTCTAGTCTTTCCCTTTTTGTTTCTAATGTCAATGAGGGGTGGTTCTTAGGGTACTGACTCCCAGAGACGTAGCTCTTTTCATTGCATCATGGTCAGTGGAGCTCCTGCAAGCTTGTAGTTGGGGAAAGAAGGTATCTCTGGAGGACACATTCTGATCTGGTCCTCAGACCCCTGCCCAGCCAGGTGCCTCTCCACGTACCATGCTATTATGTAAGTTGACATTAGCTATCTCTCCCCTGCTAGGGCTGAGGTGTATCTCTGAGCTTCTTAGGGGCAAAGTCTCATCCTGGAGTCCAACACTTAGGTCCTACAGTTAGTGCTGAGCAGTGTTAGTTACTGTACGATGGAATCTGTCCTTCCTGAGTGAGCAAAGCAGATAGGATCTCTGTGGCAAACTTCTGAGCTGGTTGGAAGGAAGGCCCTGTGTAAACACAAGGTAATAGTATTAACGGTGGTGTTACTGTCTCCCAGTGTTGAACTCATGTGATTAAAGGATCTTCCAGGAGCTTGGCTTCAGTATTTAGCCTTTTCAAGTGTGAGTAACATGCCCTAAGCCTGCAGGGAGGGGTTAGAAGAGAAGGTAAATAATCGTGACAGCTTTTCTTACATAATTAGCATCTTTTAAAAAGTCGTGGCTGTGGCACTTTGTTATTCTTTAAGGCCTTTCTGTGCTAGCTGCAACCTGCTTGCTTTTCTGGTTGTCTAGATGGTCCCATCTAGGTATGTCCTGTGCCCATTGCTGGCGCTCATGATTACTTTATTATCACTTTTTTTTTTTTTTTTTAGATTACTTTATTGTAGTTTTGTTTTTGTGGTACTGGAGATTGAACCCAGGGCCTCACACTGAACTATATCTGTATTTTTTTTTTTTTTTTTTGAGACAGGCATTAAGTTGCCCAGGATGGGCTCGAACTTCTAGTCTTCCTGTCTCAGCCTTCCAGAATGCAGGGAGTACTAGTGTGTACCAGAGGATCAAGGCTAGTTTGGGGCTGCACAGTGATTCAAGGTCAAAAAACTAAAAGCAAAAAGGATCAACTATACAGAAAAATAAGTGAAATGAAAGACCCTTGGACCTCTCTCTGGTCCTGTCTAACATGTTCCCCATTAATCATATGTTTTTCATCATGTATCTCAACATCACTCACCTTAAAGGGGTCACCTTTAAAAACAACACCCAGTGGTGATGGGTGTGGTTCTTCTACTTGGGCTGTTCTCTTAACGGTGTAGCCAGGAGTGCAGGCCCTGTGAAGCCTTTGGGGCACACCTTCCTTTGCCCTACAAAAAGGGTTCTCAGGGGCCATCTTTTTATTAGTATTATTTTTTATTTTTTGCTTTTTGAGATATGTCTAGCTATATAGTCCAGGGTGATTCTGAACTCAGTATGTAACCCAGGCTGACCTTGAACTTGTATCAGTCCTCCTGTCTCAGCCTCCCGAGTGCTAGGATCACAGGCATGCGCCATGTACTCAACAAGGTTGATCTTTCTGGGAGGCTAGGAGAAGCCATCCTGAAGTTCCTGTCCTGGATGGCATCGGCCTGGCTGTGTCTGCAGGACTGTGCTGCTCTGAGATGTGTTTCATGAGTAATGCAGCATCAGTACTTGTGTTTCACACGTGCCCTTTCCCTTGCCCATCCATCTTTGGCTGGGAAGAGAGAAAACTGATAAGTTTCGCAACTATTTTAGTGCAGCAAGTCCCAGATTCCTGAAGCCTTAAGTTAGCCAGGATGTTTGGTGCTATAACCTTTTTTTTTTTTTTTGTCTTTTTCCTTTTTATTGGTACTGGGGATCGAACTCACGACCGCCTGCTTGCAAGGCAGGCGCTTATGCCGCCAAGCTAAATCCCCAGGCCCTGCTATACCTTTGATATACATTTTTTTTTTTATCAGTACCAGGGATCCAACTCATGACCACCTGCTTGCAAGGCAGGTGCTTATGCCGCTGAGCTAAATCCCCAGCCTATGCTGCTATACCTTTGAAAGCAAATTGAGCCCAGCTGGTGTTCAGAGTTTTCTTGTGGCTGAGGACTCTGTCGGACACCTTTCAGCAGCCCAGCTTTTGAGTCATCACACAGTCCCTAGGACTGCCTGGGAACAGGGTAAGCACCCCTTTCCCTGTGTCCAAGGTGCCTGTGCTAGTTTCCTGCCCTGCTGCGCTGGGGAATACATTTGTGGCTGCATTTGCCTGCAGCCTTGCCTAGGGTTCCCTTCCCCCAGGTGTTACCGGAGGTCTGAGAGAGGTGCTGCAGCTTCCCGAGCAGGTCTGAAGGCAGTGCAGCTATTGTGGGCACTGTTCATTCTCTGAGGGTGGTGCTGCCCTCCGAGGTCCCGGGCAGCCTGGCCATGGCCTTCATCCTCTCTGTAGTTCCTGTGGCACTGCTCCCTGGGAAGTACCATCCTCTTGTATGTCACCTGTCCTTTGGCTGGCCCAGTCCCTGGCTGGGTTACACTGTTCCATTGTGCTGTACTCTCTGAGGCAGCTTCTGTCACAGCCTCTGTCCCCCAGCTGCTGCTTCCCTAGCTCCTGCCCTCAGAGACTGCGGGGAGCAGTGGGCTGTGTGGTGCTGGCACAAGCACAGAATGGGTGGCAACTGCAGCTGTGGGGGCTTTGTTCTTACAGCCAGCATGCAGGGACCTGGCGCAGCCTGGCAGTGGCATCTGGGGACAGGGAGATAGGGAGCTATATTCCTTCTAACAGCAGCTGTCCCCTTTTGCTTGGTCACCCTAGAGCCTTGCTGTCTGGCCAACGAGTGCTGTGCTTCACTGGCAGGTGTCCTGGGTGGCTGGAAGCCCTTGGGTGTGATAGGATCCCGAGGCGCTGTCCCTGGACCCCAGGAGAGCACCGTGTGAACCAGTGCTATACACAGTTTGGCTTTGCTCTGCTCTCTGCAGGTCCAGAATTGGGTTGCTCTCAAACCAAGCAGTGTGTATGTTAGCCAGCCTGGCAGCATCTGCCCTGAGTCTGTTGCTGATTGTGCTAACTAGCTGTGCTGGTCAGAGAAGACATTAGCCCGAGAGTCTGACCTCAGCCAGCTGCCCTGCCCTGGCTGCCACCCTCGAGTTGCCTCCCTTCTTCTCCCACATGGCTGCCTCTTCCCTCACTGATGTTTTACCATCCTGCTGCTGTCTTGGCTTTACTAATAGGTTCCCTCCCTCTTCTCAGTATCCCCTCAAGGCTGGGGGCGTGCACTGGTGGCCAGGAGAGAGCAGTGTCCTGCAGCATGGTGTCTATTGCTGGGCCCCTCCACCTCCCTGCCCACCCTCATGTTTTCCCCCAAAACAGAATGGGTTAGAGTTTCGCTTCTACCTGTGTTTTGTCGCGTGAAGTGTGAGACCGTCTCTTGGCTATTGGTCACTGAGCTGTCACTGCCTCTCCTGCCTCAGGAACAGATGAGCTGGGTTGGGAAGAGACTTCACTTCACCCCTCTGTCAGGAGGGGAAGGTGGCATGCTGTCCCACTGCGCTGCTCATCCAGGAGAGAGGTTGGGATCAGCTGCCATCTTCTGCTTGGGTGGGGGACTGAGGTGAAGCTCAGCTGGGCTGTGGGGACATCCCTGGGCAGAAACAGAAGCTTTTAAATGAAGAGGCAGAGCCCAGCACATGGCGTCTACCTGAGGTGTCACTCTCCTTGGCAGCTTGTGGCCCTGGAGGTGGAGTGGGAGGTGTTGGGCTCCTACCCATTCCACGTCTGGAGTTTCAGGTGAACTTTGGCCGAGAGGAGCTGGAAAGGCACCTCAGCCAGTGAGGGTCAGGACCTGTCCTGGACTCCGTCCTGCCGGAAAGTCAAGACCTCCGCGGAGCCTGTGAGTGAAGTGGCACAGTGGTGCTGCACCGAGGCCTCTCCTCCAGGCCAGGGGTCGGAGAAAGCAGGACATAGTTGCTTGGTGTCCCTTACTGAGGCAGGTCTATTCTGTGAACAGATTCTGAGTCCTGACAGTGGGTGGTGCTGGACCAGGGGACTTTGAGACCCACAGGCCCTCCCAGTGGCTTCTGACCCCATGGGTGGGGAAGGCAGGGCCTGCCTGACTGGTGGCCTGCGGCAAGTAGGTGTGCATGTGAGAGGGGCCATTCAGGACGCTGGGGAGAGAGGAAGCAGTCTGGAAGGGTTTGTTTTTTGGTTTTTGATTTTTTTGTTTGGCTTTGGCCAGGAATATAAGAGCCAGGAGTGGAGGTCTGGGCACAGGGTCAGATGCCGAGCACTGGCTGTGAACACGAGGGCTTTGGCTTTCTCTTTATTGGGGGAGGGGCTGGTTGCTGGGGGCATCTTCAATCTCTTCAGCCCCTTTGTTCTGCTTGGTGTTTGGATATGTGGCCAGGTGGGCGGATCTGAGGTGTTTGCTCAGGTGGGAGCCAGGTGAGCTGTGGTCGCCAGCACCCCAGCACCGTTGTTCGTTGTTCGTCTTTAAAATTGTTCTGGTGCAGTATGGTTTCACCCTGTATGGCTTTCAAAACCCTGTCAGTCTGTTGAGGTTAGAGTAGGCAGGGGGCCAGGCCAGGGCTGCAGGCTGTGAGTCCCAAGAAGGTTAGGTTGTACTTGCCTGGAGGGGGGTAGCAGACCAAGTTGTTGGAGGGGCAGTAGGGCTGGTCTGGGCACAGACTGGCATCTTCCAGCCTAGTCATCTGCCCAGAGCAGAACCTCTGCCCAGACCCCACCCTAGAACTGTTGGCTGCCTGCCTGCCACGCGCCCAGGATTGCTGAGGGCTTTGCTCATACATCTTGAGAGCAGTCTTGGGAGTAGTGGTGTGCTGGAAAAGTGTGTGTGTGTGTGTGTGTGTGTGTGTGTGTGTGCGCGCGCACACGTGCGCGTGCACACACACACACATGCGCAGGCAGGTGGGGCTGTGGGGGAGTAAGCAGGGCTGGGCCCACCTCAGTAATAGAAGCTTGTGTTCTGCCTTTCATGGGGTGGACAGGGCTGTGATACTATTATGCTGTGGGACAGTAGGGATCTTCATAGGGAGTGCCCAGGGCCACTGCAGTGCCACCTGGTCAGAGGGCTGGCTCTTCTTACCTTTAGTTGGAGGCAGAGCCTGGATTTCAGAAACTCGAGGAGTAGCCAGTTCTCATGGTAAGGGTGTAGCCCTCTCCAGCCTGCCCATCTTCCCCAGGTCACAGAGTTCAAAGACTGTCCCGCAGTTGTGCTCAGGACCATGCTGTGTTCTGTGACCAGTCTGGTGGTCTAGTGGCTGCTGAGGGGCTGTTGGAAGGACTGGTACTTATTTGAATTATTTCTTTCTAACCTGGGTCCCCAGGTTATTGAGGCAGCACTCTGTAGAGCTGGTGTGTTCTCAATCAGAGTTGGTTTTCCTTTCATTCTAGAAGCAGTAGTGATTATTAACTTCCACTGGATTTTCTTTGAGTGTTAGTGATTTCTGTGGTGATATATGGGTTCTCCCTGAGTCAGACAACTGGGTTTATTGACCCCTTGAGGTCCCATACTTGCTTGGTTTATTGACATCTGTGAGCAGAAGGACTTAGCAGGCTCAGAAATAACTCACACCTAGATACCTAGATAAACTAATAGGACATCATTCATTCGTTCATTCATTCATTTTCTCTGCAGTTCTGAGTTGAACCTAGGGCCTTTGCTCTGCAGTTTTGAGACAGGGACTGACCAAATTGCCTAGGCTAGGCTTGAACTTGCAGTCTTCCTACCTTTATCTCCAGAGTGCTAGAATTCCTGTGTGTGCCATTACAGCCGGCTGGCATGGTTTTTTAAATGAAGCAGTGGTGATGGGCGGAGTGTGACAGGAGGAGACTGTTGTGGACTCAAGTCCTATCTCCTTGACATGAACAGAGTGGGGAGACAGCCGGCCTCTGAGCCCTTACAGGATGCAGGCTGGGGGATTAACCTTTGGTTCTTCTCCTGGGCCTCAGGCAGACCCTCAAGGGCAGCAGAAGGAAGTGGGAGGCCTCTGGGGCCTCTGGGCCTCTAGGCCTTGGACTTCTTTACTGTTGCCTCTTACAGGTATAGATGGTTTGGCAAAAGTCAGGGTTCTGAAGAGGGTGCTCTCCTGTCCCCCTCCAGCTCCTGTAGCAGGCATCAGAGATGCCTAGGGAGTTACAAGCACATACCCACAGAGGGAGCAGGTAGGCTTCTCAGCTCCTGGTCAGGGTGGCACTTTTTGTCCATTGTGTAAAGGACACTGCTCAGCCAGCTTAGGGTGTGGGTCTTGGTGTCCATCTCCAGTCTACACTCTGCTCAGCTGTTCAGTGGGTTCACGGCGCAGGTTCCCATGCATGCTGAGTCCCATTCCTAATGAAAGTAGACTTTGTTCTGAAAGGCAGCTAATCGTGCCCCATGGGCTGTAATCAGGGAGAAGGTATTTAATGTGGGGCAGGCGGCAACAGGCGGCCTGCATGACTGGCAGATTTCAACATGGCAATTAGGGAGCCATCGCCCCCACCCCTGCAGCTAGAGGTAGCCTCTCCTGGATCCTTTCTGCGTAAGGGAAGAATGAATGTTATGCAGCAGGGAAGGAGGCGGCCTCATGCCCAGTGTGGCCCTGGAGTGTGCCTTTCCCCTGGCCTCACTTTCTGGGGGTGAGGAGGGTGCTTGCTGTGTTGGATGGCTCCTGGAATGGTGCCAACAGGTTCCATCCAAAGAGTCACAGGCAGGCTGGGTCAGCCAGAGGCCCCTGTGCCTCACGCTTCTCCTAAGGCATGGCTGTCCTTGTCGTGGGACCCAGCCTCACATCCTGAGTTCTCCACCCCAGGTCCTGAGGCGTAGGCAGAGTGGGGAGGACAGCAGCAGGGCAGCAGGAGTCTTCCCTGCTCCTTGCACTGCCGTGGTGCCCTGTGACGCACTCAGCAGCGTATGCCATGAGCCCCAGGTGGGCCTTGGCCTTACCTTGCTTGTCATAGCCCATTCTCAGTTGTTTGGCTGCTTCCCTGGGGACCCCCCCCCAATCCTCGTACAGGATTGGGCTTCCTTCTTGGGCTGCCATACTCTACGGCCACCTGGGAATGCTCAGGGGTTATACCTGGTGGCTGACCTACTGGTGGACCTTGTCCAGGTCTTCTGGTTCACCACTTTTTCCACCTGGGCCTCAGTCTCACTGCCTCTCTGGTTCCCTGTGCTTTAGCCTTGTGTCACCCTCGGCCCTTGTCCAGCCGTTAATGGTGTCTCCGCCCCCATGAGCTGATCTAGAGCGCTTAGCAGATGTTGGGAATTGGAGATGGGACTGGTTGTCTTCATGAGCCCCCTGTATTTACTGGAATGGGGTAGAGAGTGGCTCAGATCTCCTTAGGCATTGGATGTGTCCCCTAGCTGTGACTCTTTGACACTTTGGAAAAGGGCCTCCCACACAAAATCCCCATGTGTAGCTACTGTGCATTTTAGTGCCAGTCCACCCCTGCCCCACCCGACCCCCTCAGACTCTCCTGAGAGTAGATCTGTGTTGTTGCGGGGCCTGGCTGGGTGGTGGGGACCTCAGGTTAGGGTGAGGCCAGGGGAGGTGAAAGATGCTTGAGGCCTTCTGTGAGGTGGCTCTGAATGCAGGGACGCAGCAGATCTGAGCGTGTCCCGTTCTGCCTGCCCAGTGCTTACACAGGGCCTGGTGCTGTTGGCAGGAGTAGAGACAAGGAGGTGAGGAAGAGGGCTGGGAAGTTAGGTCACAGCAGCATAAGCATCTGCCTGACAAGCACAAGGTCCTGAGTTCAGTCCCTATATCAAAAAAAACAAGGAGGTAAGGAAGAGGCTACAAACAGAGGACAGAGCACCCAGTGGTGCGGTTCTGCAGAGAGGCTTCCTCAACTGGTGGGTAGGGCAGGGGAGGAAAGAAGAGACGCGGCTTTCCACGAAGGGAGATGGCAGAGACTGTGCCCTGGAGCCGCCCCTGGGTGTCTCTTACTGCTCTGTCCCTGCTGTACACCCACATGCATGGCAGAATGTCTGCCCAGGGGCCAAGGCTGTGGGGACTTTCTAGGCCTTACCTTGCTTGTCATAGCCCATTCTCAGTTGTTCAGCTGCTTCCCTGGGGACCCCCTGCCCCCATACAGGATTGGGCTCCCTTCTCCGGCTGCCATACTCAGCAGCCACCTGGGAAGCCTCAGGGGTTATACCTGGTGGCTGACTTCTGGTGGACCTTGCCCAGGCCTTCTGGTTCACCACTTTTTCCACCTGGGCCCCCATCCCACTGCCTCTCTCTCCCTCAGGCCCTGCCCTGGGGCCCTCTGGGGACAACACCAGGGGACTTATGGCAGCGACTTGTTTGCGCCTCCGCACCCCAGGAATGTGCTGTCCTTTCAGGCCTGCCTGGATTCCTGTGCAGGGAGTCAGCAGACACAGCCTGCTGTTTGTGCCCTGTGGGGACACGTTCTGCCTCCCGTCAAAGAGGTGGAGACTGGCGGCTCGTGCCTATGCTGCCACACCCCAGTTCCCCCAGAAACCCCAGTCCAGGGATCAGGAGGGAGACCACTTCTGCCTGCCTGCCCCCACCGGTGCTTCCTGCCCCAGGTCTGCTGGAATGTGACAGGAGTCACAGCCAGGGCATGTTCTGACAGTGGCAACACACGCTTTTGCCCTCCAGACTTCCCTCAGCCCCCCGGCTCTGTTCAGGTGCATGGATGGCAACAGGAAGAGGTTGTTTTTAAGCCCAGAAGGCCACCTGAGGTTACTGCCGCCTCGGGTTTCAGTTGTGGTGGTGGTGGCTGCCCCCGTGCTGCAGCCTGGCTCACTGCAGGGCCATGGGCAGAACCTGCGGGGCCTTGCAGGTCTCTGCCTAGCCACTGGCCCCTAACGTAGTGCCAGTGAGGTAGAGAGTTGGCCACTGTGTGCCAGAGCAGCCCTAAATTTGGGCTTCCTATGCCAGGCCTCCCCCCCCCACCACCACACACACACACTGTTGACCTTTTGTGGATGCTTCTACGTTTCAGGGCTGTCTTGTGCATTGCTGCCTGGTGGCAGCATCCCTGGCCTCCACCATTAGAGGCCAGTTCAGACTCTCCAGGCATTTGCCAGGTGTCCCTAGGGGAAGGGGTGGGTAGAGTTGCCTGCTGAGAGCCAAGGCTCTAAAGTGCTGCCCTTCCAGCCTCCTCTCCTGGACTCGCCTTCCTTGTAGCCAAGTCTGCCGGCTGCTGTCGTGCACAGAGGTGGCCTTTGTGCTTTTGTGGAAAGACTGCCAGGAGCTGTCTTCTTCTGTCATCTTGCTTCTCCCCAAGGCCTTTCCTGGTTGAGACTCACTTTCTCCAGAGCACTGAGTTGTCTGGAAACAACAGAGGCCTGACAGATGAGTGGGGGAAGGATGAGAGGGATGGGGACAGAACAGAGCTGGGCCTGCAGCAAGCTGAGACATTACTTGCATATACACAGAGACGAAAAGCAGTGCCTCAGTAGTCTCCTGCCCTCTCTGCCTGGCCCTCCCCGGGGACCTGTCCAGGTCCCAGCCCGGCAGACAGGCCTGTGGCGCTGACAGACAGGCAGCTGGCACCTGGTTTCCACTTGTGTCGCTTCTCTGGTTTCAGGAGTGCCTGGCTGGAGGAAGTGGAGGGGCCGTGGGATGCAGAGAGCCAAGGGCTGACTCCCACAGGGCAGAACAGAGCGAGCAGCCGACGCCCAGACGGTATGTCCCCAACTATATGTCCCCGCCAAGCCTGTGTCCCACGTGATGTTGCCTGGATGGCTGGTAGGCGAGGAGCAGGCAGGTGTCCTCTCCTGGTGGAGGGCATAGAGTGCTCTTGAGCTTGGAGACCCCACAGAGGAGCTAGGCTGGGGTATGTCCACAAAGCTTTACCTTTTTTTGAAGCAAATGCTTACCAAACATTTCTGCAGTACCTTGTGCTGCTGTGGCACCTCACGGAGTCCTCACAGCATTCCTCTGGGCGGGGCTGCTCTTGCCTGGTTTAATGCTGAGGAAACAACTGCACAAAGAGTGCTTTTCCCTTTCTGCCCCAGCAAAGGGCGAAGTGCCGCTATGAGGCTTCTGTTGCAGTCTCAGAGCAGGGTCTGCAGGTCCTAGGGCCCTTCCTACTTGCTTGTTCCCCATGGGGTCCGTGCCCCACTGTCCGTACTGTACTACCCACAGGACCAACCCCAAAGTGGCCTGGACCTGACTGCCTGTGTGGTGGCTCCTGCTTCGTACATGTGTGGCCCTTAGTCATACATGTCTTGTCAGTCCAGAGTCCTGTGTGCCCTCTCTGACCTCTTCCTCCCTTAGCAGGTGGAGGAGCCCATACCTCCCAGAATGACCAGTGCAGCTCCTGCCAAGAAGCCCTACCGCAAGGCCCCACCAGAGCACCGGGAGTTGCGGCTGGAGGGTCCTGGGTCCCAGCTTGAGCACGAGGTCAGCAGGACTGATGGCAAAGGGGTCCCAAGACAGGTGTCTGCCTGTCTTCCCTTACTTGAGCTAAAGGTCCCCGAGTGGGGCTGGGGTGGGCTGTGGCACTATCCGCAGCTGTGTTGCTGGGGGCACCTAGGGAACAGGGAGGCTGACTGTCAGCTACATGGAAACGGCCCTGTGTGGCCTTGCTCTCCCTGCAGGATGGGGCAACCTGTGGGAGGCTGGGCTTGGGTCCCTGTAGCCAAGTGATGGCCCCCAGTGATCCAGCTGCTTCCCACAGCTGCTCTGCCTTGTCTGTAGGAAGTGCCTGCTTCCTCAGCTGTGCTGTTGTGCTTGTGTATTAAGTATGCGTTTCCTGCTGGGACCAGGCAGGGTTAGGGCTCTGTTTCTAGGAGGCCTGTGCACTCTGGTGGGTTCTCTTCCCTCACTGGGTTCTGGTGGCCCTACCCTGTTACCGTGCATGGAGCATTTAAAGGACTAGGAAGACAATCACCAGATAAGCATCAGGCATATCATGGTCCACTTGGGAGAGATTCAGGCCAGAGAACCATAGGTGAAAGTGCCAGCTATTGCTTGATCTGGTGATATAGACCTGAAATTTCAGCAGTGTGGGAAGTTCAAGCTCAGTGTGGACAGATCCTCTCTCAAAATGAGCAATGAAAAAGGACTTAGGGATGAAGCTCAGTGTGAAGGCCTTGGTTTCAATTTCCAACATGGCAAAAAAGAAAAAAGCCAGGCTTATGCTAATTCCTACCTAGTGAGCATTGCTCTGGTTTTATAGAGGAAGGGGTCCAAGAGCAGGCTCTGTGAACCAACATGTGGTGGTCAAGGTCAGATATAGGTGTTAGGGACTCCTGAGTCCTTGGTCTGAGTTACCTTCTCCCCTGCCCATGACTGCAGCTCCGAAGCAGCAGGTCCATTTGGAACAGGCCTTTGCATTTCCCTCCTTGGTGTAGCAGCTGCCGGCTCTGCCCATGGCTTGGGCCACGACCACTATGAGGGCCTGGGAAAGATGGGCTGGAGTTACAGCAGCATAAGACACTGTACTACTGTCAGGATTAGCCCAGAGGCTGCCAGCATCCGTGCCCTAAACCTCCAAGGTCCTGGGAGGGCTCCACCAAAGCTCAGGACTCTATAGCCTGGCCTGACTTCACTTCCCTGGAGGTCCCAGCCGTGTAGTGTGGAAGCCGGGCCCAGGAGGAGCCCAGTGGACAGTTAAGAGTATGTCTTTGGAGGAGGTGGCATAGTTCCAGGACCCACCTGAAAATGGCTTTAGGAGTAAGGATGAAGGTTGGCATGGGTGAGGGCAATTATTGGGTGACATCCATCTCTAGAAGGCCCTGCAGCGCTTGTGTGCAGAGCTTCAGAAGGGTCCTGCTGGGGCTTCATGGAGGGTAGGCTGCCCAGCAGGTCAGGATCTGGAGCTGAGCCTCAGGCTTTTGTTTTCTTCTACCCAGGAGCCTCTGACGGACGCAGAAAGGATGAAGTAAGTTTGATTGACCACGACGTTACATTGCCATGTCCCCTTAGCTCCCAGCAAGGCTGTTGGCACAGTCAGACTTTTCCCTGGCTTAAACGGAAGTCAGAGTTGGGATGGGATTTCTCAGGTACCCTGGAAGGCAGCTTGATGCTGTAGGTACTCTTTTCTGGGGTTTTTATTGTTCTGTAGGCCCTGAGAGGCCCTGGAGTGAGGAAGTGGATGGTTGGGAGGGACTTGCCCTTGCGAAAGAGCTCCTGTGCCAGCTGCCTCCCTGTGACAGCCCCACTAGGCCCCAGGAGAGGAGGGTAGGGCTGGGCCGGATTTCCAAGGGATTAATAATGGAGAAGCTGATTGTGCAGGGGAAACTAGAGCCAGGGGCTTGGTGGACGGCTGGCTTGGGCAGTAACCAGAGACAGGCTGGGAGCTGCCCCGCACCCCCTGTTCCGTCCTGTTGTTCTGCAGTGGGGTGGGGGTGGAAGGTGCTCTCCCCTACTGTCCTGTGCCTCCCCCCATTCTTCACAGGCTACGTTCTTGGGCCTTTGGCACGTGCTGTCTTAGACCCAGGCCAAGGTCCCAAGAATCCCCCTGCCCCAGTCGCATGCCCCTTCTCTCTGATGCCCTCTCTGCACCGCACCCACAGACTTTTGCAGCAGGAGAATGAAGAGCTTCGTCGGCGCCTGGTCTCAGCCACCCGACGCACTGAGGCCCTTGAGCGGGAGCTGGAAATTGGGCAAGACTGCCTGGAGCTAGAGCTTGGCCAGAGCCGCGAGGAGCTGGACAAGTTTAAGGACAAGTTCCGCAGGTATGGGATGTGGGGCCACACTCGCATGCGAGCACCTCCCCAAGTGTCGATTAGCTGGAAGAGGCCTCAGATTTGACCTTGCGCTGATTAGAACATACATGTCGGTATTGTGACTGGAGAGGGCGCTGCCCAGGAGTCTTCGGGAAGTGCAGGTCTGGACCAGGTGTGTCTGTGTCCCTCCCTAGGCTGCAGAACAGTTACACAGCCTCCCAGCGGACTAACCAGGAGCTAGAGGACAAGCTGCACACATTGGTACTGTGGCGCCAGGGTGGGCAGTTGGTCTGGCACTGTGCTCCAGGGCAGGGGCCAGGCTTTCCTTTGGGGAGCCACTCTGGCCTGGAGCCTGAGGCCTGGGGTAGGGTAAGGGGCATGGTAAGGGAGGGGACCGCAGTGTGCTGTGCAAGGTGGGACTGTTGTGATGCTCATACTGTTTCTCTTTTCTCCTCGTCTCCCCCTCATGCTGCCACCGTTGCTGCCGCCCTCTCCTCTCAGGCCTCTCTTAGCCACAGCTGGATATTTGCAGTTGCGTCTGAGTTTGTGTTTCCTCCTTTGTGCTGGCCTCCTCAGCCCGGGCCTGGGACCTCCGGGTGCTGGCCCTCTTCCTCTGCCCCTTGAGGACCCGTGTCCTGTCGTTTCCCTGCATGAGGCCCATTCAGTAGTCAGGGCTAGGGCTCTTGCCCCACTGTCATCTTGAACACTGACTGCTCACTGCAGGGGCAGTGGGCCCTGGCTCCACTCCATGGATCAAAGAGCCCGCAGCCTCCAGCCAGATCATCCCTTGGGTGCCCCGGCTGTGCCCAGTTGCTCCCTCCTGCCACTTCCTGGTGTTGCTGAAAACCAACAGCTGCACATACAGCCCTTGGTGCAGTTTCTACTTCTGAGTCCAAGCAACCTTGCTTGGTGCTCAGAGCCCCTGAAACTCTGTGGCCCACAGACAAATCTAGACTCTCTCTCCGGGGTCTCACCCCAGCTGGCCCAGTAGGACCAGTGCAGTAGGAGCAGTGCCCAGTCTCCTTCTGTCTGTCCGTCACTTGTCTGCTTTGTTGCCTTGGCTGCCCTGGCACGTGTACCTCATGTCTCTGGGCTGGAGGTTGGGTCAGGTCGGGTGGGGTGGGGTGGGGTGGGAGAAGGGCTGGCTGGGTTGGATTTACAACTCCTGTGTGCCTCAGATCCAGAAGGCTGAGATGGACAGGAAGACACTGGACTGGGAGATTGTGGAGCTGACGAACAAGCTGCTGGACGCCAGAAACACCATCAACAGGCTGGAGGAGCTGAACGTAGGTCACCTGCCCATCAGGGCTCTGCCACCCCCCCCCGCCTTGGGCTGGTGCTAGGGAGGGTACAGCTGCCATGTGCTGAGGTCGCTCTGTGTGCAGGAGCGCTACCGGCTGGACTGTAACCTGGCGGTGCAGCTGCTCAAGTGCAACAAGTCCCACTTCCGCAGCCACAAATTTGCCGATGTGAGTACAGTGCCCCCTGTCAGCACTGGCCAGCAATACCTTCTAGTCCTGGGCTCTAGCTCTGCCCAGAGCCTTTATTTAGCCTCTTCTCCACTTGGCCCTCCTACCTCCATCCTGCCCTGCACCCAGGCTGCCACTGTGCAGGGGGCTGGCCCTGCTGGCATTTCTGTGAGACACTCAGCTCGAGCCTGTGTGGGAAGGAGGTGTGGCTAGACCTTTCGGCCACGCATGCTGTTCCTGTTACCTCAAGGGCCAACTAACTGTAGACCCTAGAGCCACAGGCCACAGTCAGGCGGGTTTGGGCAGGGGTCTTGCTAAGGTGGGGAGGTAGAAGCCCAGACACATAGCCTCGCCAGTAGGTCTGGGTTAAGTCTCAGCTGCGTTCATCAGAAGCTGCAGGTGGTTTCCAGTGCTGAGCCCGCATGGCTGAAAAATGTGGTCACAAGATCTCCCTTGTATGTAGCGCATATAGCAGGGCCATGCCAAGGAGCCATCGATTTCACCGTGGCCCAGCTGTCCTCAGCTGGGGCCATTCACGCCTCTCTTCTTTCTCACAGCTGCCCTGTGAGCTGCAGGACATGGTTCGGAAACACCTGCACAGCAGCTCTGAGGCTGCTAGTCCGGGTCCTGCTCCCAGCCCAGCCCCTGGGGCTGTGGTGCCCACCTCAGTCATTGCCCGTGTGCTGGAGAAGCCAGAGTCCCTGCTGCTCAACTCTGTTCAGTCAGGCAGTGTGGGGCGGCCCTTGGCCGAGGATGTCTTTGTGCACGTGGACATGAGTGGGGGCTCCCCAGGGGACATGGCCAGTCCCCCAACCCCCAGTAGTCCCACCCCCCAGCCCAATGGTGAGTGCCACTCTCTGGATACTGTGGGGGGCTCCCCAGAGGAGGAGCAGTCCCTGCCAGCCTTTGAGAAGTTGAGCCCCTATCCTACCCCATCTCTGCCCCACCCACTATACCCTGGCCGAAAGGTGATAGAGTTCTCGGAGGATAAGGTCCGCATCCCTCGCAACAGCCCACTGCCCAACTGCACCTATGCCACACGCCAGGCCATTTCCCTGAGCCTGGTGGAGGAGAGTGGTGATCGGGCCCGCCCCAGCCCGGGGCCCAGCAGCCCTGCTTCAGCCCAGGCCTCCCCACACCACCAGCCTGGCCCTGTTGCCCCCATGCCCAGCAACCCAGCCAGCTCCACTAGCTCTGAAGAAGACTTATTGGCCAGCTGGCAGCGGGCATTTGTGGACCGCACTCCACCACCTGCTGCTGTGATCCAGCGCACTGCCTTTGGGCGGGATGCCCTCCCTGAGCTGCAGCGCCACTTTGCCCTTAGCCCTGCCGACCAAGATGAAGTGATTCTGACACCCTCAGCCCCTCCTGATGAGAGTGGGCTTCTGCTACTAACAGAACCTAACCGAGACTTCCCCAAGGAGGAGGAAGAGGAAATGCTGAACCTGCCTGTCAGCCCTGAGGAAGAGCGCCAGAGCCTGCTGTCTGGGGACAGGGGTGCAGAGGAGGGGTCTGGCACTTTGCACACTGAGGGTAGGGGCTGGCCACTCCCTGGCTCCAGCCGCCCCCAACGCAGTCCCAAAAGGATGGGAGTACACCACCTGCATCGAAAGGACAGCCTAACCCAGGCCCAGGAGCAGGGTACCCTGCTCAGTTAGGCCATCCTCAAGGACAGCCTGGCTTGCTGGTCTGGGAGCAGGCAGCCTGCAGAGAGTTGGGCCTGGCCTCTTTCCCCTGACTTGCACAGTTTGGTTCCCTGTGTGAGTGACAGGCTATGCCAGGCCTTTCAGTTTGACAGTGGCACCAGCTTGCCTCCTTTGTGACTTGTCCTTGTCTTGGAGTATTTATTCTCCAGAGTAATGTGCTGATGGCCTCAGGCCATTCTCTCCATCGACAGCCCAGGTTGGGCTGCCCCAGGACACAAGGGGCTCATCAGTGTTCATCCTGACCTCCCTGCATGTTCCTGGGCTAGGTGGTTCAGGGTGTCACTGGAATTAACCTCTGGGTGGTTTTCTTCTGCACTGCATGAGCTGTTGCCCTTCAGGTGCCTGGCCTAGCTCCCTGGGATGCAGAAGTGAGACTCAGGGCTCCCCTTGCTGCTCCTGTGCCCTGGATAGGAGAGTGTGGGCTCCAGAGGCCTCAGGCTGGGCTCTGTGTGAAGTCCAGCTCCTCCCAACCTTGGCTCTAGACTGTTACTCCCAGCTTTGGGAACTTTTCACATTGATGACTATTTTAAAATAAAACTATTTTACTGGTATGGCCTTGCTTGTCTTAATGACCTCCCCTCCTCACATTTTGAGTAGTCCTTCCTGGTCCTAGTGTTTTCTTGGTCTTTGCCAATGACCCAACCCTCCCACTCTGCCTGGGGCTTCCCGGGCCACAGAGCCTCCGGCCTTGGGAGTGGACCCTCAAGTAACCTTGGCAGGGCTCAGGTCTCCCTTTAGCCCAGCAGTGGAAGTAGGCTCCTCACTGTATGTTACAACCTGTATAGGTTTGTGTGGTGTAACCCCAGGCCCCAGGTCCTAGACCTGAGCAGCCTGCTGGAGGCGTCAGAGCTTTGGCTGTGGGGCGCTCCTGCCGCCTAGTGGTGCTTAACGGTAGTCCCCGTTCCTCCCCCAGCCACCCCTAGCGACCAGCCTCACACCAAGTTGTAGATTTTATAAAATCTCTTCCGAGCCAGCGGGTTATAGCCAGAGCTGCTGACAAGTCCAGAGTGTTGCCCTGGGCTCTAGGGCCTCCAAAACTGTTGTCAGCCACAGCTTCCCACACTACCAGGAGCTGCCAGAGCCCTGGGGCCATCCCTCCCAAGTCACAGGGTCTGTCCCTGCCATCCAGGGAAGGAGCTGGGAACAGAAAAACATAATGACATGCAGAAACCCAGGTGGAGAGTCACATCTCGGTCTCAGCCAGCAGACTGTCCCCCAGTCCTGATGTCATTAGCACCATCTGGGAGCTGGCATCTGTGGAGGGGTACAGGGTATTGAGACCAGCATGTTTGCCTCTGTGGGGACACAGGTGAGAGTTGTCTATTCCCCATCCACCTTCCTTTTCTTGACTCCTCCACACCTGGCTCCAACCACTCCTCTGGTTCTTACCAGCGGGGCACATCCAGGAGCTGCTGCCCCTCGCATGGGCAGCAGGTTCCCTCCCTCGTTCCCATTCCTGGGTGTCGCCAGTCCCTCCAGCCACTTCCTCCTCTTCCTCGCCCTCAGAGAGAAGGTCACAGATCTGCTGCTGCAGCTCGGGACTGATACTGTTCTCGGCCAACACCAGGCTCCGCAAGGCTGTTGGGTAATTTTCCACCATGTCCAGCAGGGTCTGGGGTGAATGGGTGGGAAAGGTGAACGCACATAATCGTGGCAGGTCTTTGGATTCTACCCCCGCTTCCCCCCAGGTGTGTCCATTCCACCCTCTGCTTGTCCTAAGCATCGAGAACTCTCACCTGAGCAGACTGGTTGGTAAGCCCTGTGCCCTCCAAGTCTAGGACCTCTAGGGTACGGCTGGAGGCCACAGCCACAGCCAGCATTCCTGCCACGTGGTCACCTGGGGAGACAGCACACACGCACACACACTGACCTGCATTCATGCCCTTTACTCCACTTTGCGCTTAGTCTCCCCAGCACCCTAACCACCTTTGACTCCACCCCTGGCTCTTAGACCTTGGCTGTTGGTAGGTGGTGGGGATGGGACTGGAACTGGGGTGCTGGCTGGTGCTCTGATCTGCCTGATGGTCACCTGATGGTCCATATAGGACAAGTTGCCTCCTGACCCTGCCTGGGCCCTCACTTCTCTTCCTTTCACCGTGTGGGGTTCCCATGGCAATGGTGTCCCCAGGTTCTTGACAGGTAGGTGGGGCATGAGCCTTACCCAGGGGGTTGTAGTCCAGATTGAGAACTCGGACCTGGGAGCTGTGGGCCACAGCGATGGCCAGGCGGCTCCAGCCCTTGGGGGTGATACCAGGATTGGCGCTCAGTGTCAGCTCTTTCAGGCCTGGGCAGCAGCACAGCAAGAAGCCAGAGCAGGGAGGGTCAGAGCCTACTCTAGCCCTTCCCCACCCTGTGCCTCTGGGACGCTGTCAATGACTGGGAGCCACCCCACCTCACCCACAGAGCTCCAGAGCTTCTAAGGACCTTCAATCTCCAGATCGATTCATTCCCCCCCCCCTTTTCCTGGACGTTCTTGCTCCTTCCCAGAAGGGACTCTGCACTTAGCTTCCATCCAGGCCACCCCAATGTCCTGCTCACCAGACTTGGCCCCATCTGGGGGGAGGAGGCCACAGATGAGGTTGATGGCTTCATCACCCAGCATGCAGTCCCCTAGGTCCAGAGCCACGAGGGCAGGGTGGAGGGCCAGGGCTGGGTTCAGTAGGGCCAGCCCAGCATCTGTCAGCGGGCTCCCATGCAGGCTGCGGGGAGGCAGGAGGGCAGTTACTCGGCACCCAGCCTTCCAGTAGAAAATAGATGCCTCCTCTGAGAGGCCCCAGAGGAGGTGGGATGAACACTCTGGTTTCTTAAGAATACTGAAGAAGAGGAATCTTTCTGGGGCGAGGACTGGGATCCGGGGTATTGCAGAAAGCAGCAGAGAAGGGGGCGTGCTGGTGGTGCCCTGGAATTTTCCAGTGGGCACAATGGTAGGGACAGGACTCTAGTACCGGGGTGGGGGCGGGGTTCCTTTTTGGGAATCGAGGTGCAGCCCTGGCTAAGTAAAGGAGGGTGGTAAGACGGGAAAGGCGGACAGGCCCTGCTAGGAAGAAATGGCCACCTTGGCCACCTCGTGGGGCTGGAGGAAACCCAGAAACCAGACAAGCCTTGGAGGGTGTGGTGGAGACGCGGGTAAGGTTGCAAGGTCAGTCTGAAAGGTACGGAGGGACAGGTGGCAAGGGAGCACGCGGAGGGCACGGTGCCCGGAATCCCCTGGTGAAGGGCGCACTCACAAGAGGGACTGGATGGAGCGGTTGGTCCTCAGCGCCTCCGCCAGCTGTTTGATGCGGCTGGGACTGGACACGACCCCCAGGTTAAGGTTGAGCTGCGCCAGGGACGTGGCCCCGGCTAGGGCCCGGCAGATGCGGCCGAAGTCGCGGTCGCAGAGGCGGCAGCCACGCAGGGAGAGCAGGCGTACGGCGTTGTCACGCAGGCCGCGGCAGATGTCCCGCACCTCGGCGCCTGACAGCGGCTCCCCTGAAATCTGGATGGAGCTGGGCAGCATCGTACCCAGGGCTGGGCCGCGGGAGCCCAGGCGGGGGCGGAGCGGGCCGGGGAAGAACGCCGGGACCCCGCGCGGGACGATGTGGGACGCCAAAGGCGCGGGCCGGGGCCGGAAGGCGCTGCCCCGCGATTGTCGTAGTCTCTCGTAGTTGCGGAGGCGGCGGCCCGGGGGCGGCGGCTGGGGCCAGGCCCCTGCTCAGAGGCCGCACCGACCCCCGCTCTCCGGCCCGGCTCCCCCGGCCGCCCCGGCCCGGCGCGCGTCTCGCGGGGACAGCCCAAGGCTGGCGGCGCGGCTGCTCGGCTTCAGCTCTTGCGCTGGAGCGGGCGGCGGGTTTCCATGGCAACGGGTCGCGTCACCGCCGCTCGCCCCGCCTCTCCCTACTGGGCCATGCGGCCCTTGAGACTGCGCACACCACGGGGCACGGGCAGAGAGATGCCCTTCCCGGGACCACGCCGAGCCAGACAGCAGGTGGGAAGAGAGGGAAGGGGCCTAGGACAGGCGGGACCAAGAGGGCGCAACGGGGGCGCGGCGCATGAAGGGGGTGTGTGACGCTGGGGCAGGCTGCGCTCTCCGTGCCGCGCCCACCCCGGCGCTTGAAGGCCTCGCCTCTCCGCCTCCAGCGCGTCCCTCTGGAGGTTGTAGGTCCCGGGCCCTTTAATCTGCGCCGCGCCTCCCCCTTAAACCCCCTTCTCCCCAAGCCTGTGACGCGCGACGCCGCGTACGCGGGGATTCCGCCAGTGCTTCCCCATTCCCCTGGCGGCTGCAAGGTCTCCACAGCCTGGGGGCGGACCGCAGGCTCAGGGGCCGCGGGTGGTGCCCACGGATGCCTTTAGCGCCTCCAGGAACAGCCACCCCGCGGCTGCGGGGAAGGGGCCCGGCATACCGACAGCAGTGGGCAAACTCTGGGTAACGGAAAATGAAGGGCGCAGCTCTGGGCACCTTTATTGAGAAGTAAAGATGCTGATGACAGGCTTAGCAGCCACAGGCTATTTTGAAAGAGTAAATTTGTGTTTTGTGCCAGGCTCTTGGTAAATTGCCTGGGTTGAGCTTGAACTCCTACTTCAGCCTCTTAAATGTTGGGTTTTTAGGTACCGGCCACCTGGCTTGAATTTTCAATCAGCTTCTTAATGGGAGCTGATCGAAGGTAGTGGGTGGTGCAATGCTAGGGCGCTCCTGTGAGAAGGCCAGAAGAGAAAGCCAATGGGGGCAGGCCCAGGTAAAGCTAGGGGCAAGTCAAGTTGGATTCAGATGTGAGCTCCATGGGAAAATTTGCTCGGTGGTGGCGCAGCTGCACCAGGTCCTCATACTGGGGTTCGATCTGGAAGTTTTGTCCAGTCCATACTGAAAGTGCAGGCAGTGGAGACTCACGGCGGGTGCATTCTTCCTCAGGCCTGCGCTTTGCTCCACAGGTCACATATGCTCTGTCCTTGGGCAGGTTCCACAAAGTCACTGCCATCTAAGTGGTCTGGCCTCTCCCACCTTCTTGCCAGAGTGAGGGGATAAAGAAAGGACCTGGCATGTTACCTCTGTGTGTGGAGGCAGATGACAGGGAGATCACTGGTACAGGACCTGCAGTTCCAGGCTCAAGCCGTGCTTTAATTACCAAGTTTATAATTAGTGACATGGAAGGAGGTTCAGGGTGCTGACCCACTTTCCACACTGGCTCCAGAGCCTGGCAGTCCTGGCCGGGAGTTCCCCGCCTTGTGCCTTTCAGCAGCCTGGAAACATGTCATGGAGGCACCTAAGTCAGTACAGCTCAGTGATGGCTGCAGACCCCAACAGAGACACAGTCCTGTCCTTTAATCTTCTTCTGCTCCAAAACTGGGGTGACAGGGCTGGCCATGAATTTTAGGTGGTCAGTGTGACTGCAGTGACACCACGAGAGCCTTGGCTGTGGCATTGAGTACGGTGGCGGGAAGCCTGGCAGCAGGGAGCACACCGGGGATGTCCCTGGGGACTCTCTGCATGGGCGGGATGTTGGGGCCCTCCAGCGTGTCCAGGATCCCTGCCAGGAGGTAGTGGGAAGGGGGAGGTGAATGAATGCAGCCCCGACCTGGGTACCCCTCTGTTGCCCCACATGGCCCTCATGCCACTTACCCTCTACCACTTTGTGGTAGGCAAAGTGCAGATACAGCAGGAAGAGCATGTGCAGGGCAGCCAGGGTGCCACACAGGAGCAGCCTCTGGGTGGGGCCCACGGTCCGAGACACCAGCACTGCCACCTAGGACCACAGGACACAGCTCGAAGGGCCAGAGTCAGTGGAGGAGTGAGGAAGGACTGACCCTCCCACCCGAAGAAAAGTCTGTAGTGGTGGCCTCTGCTTAGAACTCCTGCAGGTGCACAGCGTAGGCTCCCCCATGGGAGGACAGCACCCACTTACCATGCGCAGGGTAGACAGCCCCCCCACCAGCAGCCAGAAGAGGTAGAATAGGGCGTGGAGGTGGATGTTGTAGGTGATGAACAGAACAATGCAGTGTCCAAAGAGTCCATAGCCCTGGGAAGAGGGTGGCGGGGAGGAAAATCACTGGGCTGGGCCAGCCTACCGCTCACCCAGCCCCTGGGAAATACATGGCCGCTGGTTGCTCCTCCCACCCTCTGGCCAGGGGCTCCTGGACAGAGGCAGACCAATGCCTGGCTCCTTACCAGGAGTGCCAACATCTGAAGCATGGTGATCTGGGCGTTGCACAGGTAGGCGAGGAAGTAAATGAAGGACGAGACGCCCAGCCAGTAGCCAAAGCAGGTGCCAATGGCTGTGCCCATCAGAGTGCCCTCCCGCTGTGGGGTGAAGGCTTTGTTAGCCCTGGGAGGCGTCAATCCCAGCCTCACTTGCCAAGGGCCTTCTGTAAGGGCTGCCTGTCTCACTCTACCATCTTGTCTTTGGGCAGCTTTTGACCTACTTTAACCACCCCCCAGCCTCTGGCCCGCTTACGATAATGGTGTCAGACGTCTTCATCCCATGCAGAAGGATGGCGACCAGCGTGAAGACCAGCATAAGAGGGCCATAGAGCTCCCCTGCGATTTTCTGTCAAGATACCAACTCCTTTAGGCCAGAGGGTGTGATGCTTTTTTCTACCTTCCCAGACTTGGTGTGGTACTCCCCCAACCCCACAGCCACACCTCACCCCCAGTCACCTGGGGGAAGTTGACCATCTTGATGGGGATCATGGACTCCAGTAGCCTAGGAGAGAAGAGGAGAGGAGAGGTGGCCATTATCTATGTGACCTGATCTCTTCCTTCAGATGGGCTGACCTCAGCAGAGGGACCCAGAACTCAGAGCTAGAATGTAAAGTCTTTCCTAAGTGACTACCTGGGTTTTTAGCTGCTATTACTTCCTCCGGGAAGCCAGCTCTGTCCCACAAACCAGCCTGCTTGGACTCAGGTGTCCCTTGTGTGAGCCTCTGCTTAGAACCACAGGAGTTCTTTAACTGCACTCAATAGAAAAGCCCCCATCTTTCTATCTGTCTTCACCACTGAATCAAGCACCATGAAGAGAGTGCCTGGCTCTGGGTATTGGATTAAAACTGGCTAAAGGATAAACAAAAAGCCAAGCTAAGCCTAAGGCCCCGCACACTCCTTCCCCTGGCAGTACTGGAGAGAGAACGCAGGGCCTCCCACATGCCGGGCAAGTACTCTACCACTGGGTTATATCCCCAAGTCTTTTGAGACTGGGTCTCACTAAGTTGCCTGGACAGGCTTTGTCCTCCTGGCCTCAGCCTCACAAGCAGCTGGGACTATAGGTGTGGACTACCCCACTCAGCTAAACCCACCTTTCCAGAAGCCATTTCATAGCTATCCCCTACTGTGTTAGTTCTGAGCCTCTTGGTACCAGGAGTGAAAATGCAAAGATGGGACAGCCTGTGTTTGAGGGGCTGCTGGTTTCCAGGGAGACAGACACAGCAATAAGAACACACCCAGTGCTAAAGTGCCAGCTGTTGGAGGAAAGAACAAACAGGGTGGGCTGAGGAATGCAGAACAAAGTAAGTTCCTTGTGACCTAGGAACTTTTGTTTTTGGGCTATACACAAGATCCTGTCTTGTATACAGCCCAGGGTGGCCTTGAATTTACAACACTCAGGCCCAGTCTGAGCTAGGTTTTGTGAGCAGTGTGCTAGGTGCAAAGAGGAGGAAGGCAATGTGTCACTGCCTCGTAGTGTTCGCTGACAGCACAGAGAGGGTGCTGGGTAAGAGGGCAGCCCCCAGAGTAGGGGCTCAGTATCTAGTCTGGATGAAGCACCAGGTGTCAGAAGAGAAACTTCTGGCAGGAGAAGGATCCTTACCTGCTTCGCACCTGGGCAGGCTCCACATCAAAGTAAGGTCTCAGGATGTCAATGTTGGCATACAAACTGAAGGCTCTGGATGCTTGTCTCTTTCCTGCCTGCCACATCTGAAAGAAGAGTGGGGTAGGAATTATGAGGCTTTTGGTTCCAGCACCTACTGCTTGTTTTCTGTTGGATTTCTACATAGTTCTAACGGGAGAGCCTGGGATAAAGCGCACCGACTCAGAACACGGAATATGCCTAGGTTTACTTTCCCATCTGCCAAAGGCTCAGCTTTGCTTACCTGATCAGCCACCTGCCGGCTCAGCTGTCCCTTAAAGCCTTTCATGCCCAGGAACTCCCCGTCCTCCTCATCTGCAGCAGCCGCATCAGCATCTACCTCTTCCTCACGGAGTCGCTGATGCAGCTCACCCATGTCTTCAAAGCTGGAGCCTGAGGTGTCATCCATGTTCTCCATGTCAATCACAGCTGAGCCCCCACCCTGTGGAGACAATAGCTCCTATAGTGCCTTTCGGTTGTATCCATTAAATCTCTTCATCCCTGGACTTGGGGCTTTGTTCTTGTAGAGGACATGGCTTGAAATCACCACTGATCACACCCCCCCCCCAACATTCCCCTCATTTACTCTCGAAGCCCTTGGCTGTCAGCTCTGGGACTCTTGTGGCCCAGGAAACTTGCTGCTTGTCTTCATGTGTCTCTGCTTCCTTTCCGATCAGACCCTCAGAGGGCTGCAGAAACGTCCATTCCTTTTGTCTTTCCCAAGCCCGGGACAAAACCATTCGCACAGTGTCAATAGATCCCACTCCCCGCCCACCACCACGCCCGACCCAGACAGATCTCCTAACTTGTCCCAAAGATGACAAGGTTCTCCCAGCGCGTCCCGTGGGTCCGCGGCCCTCCGGCTGGAGCATAACCCAGCCCTTTTGGATCGGCACTAGGCCCTGAGTCGTGTGAGGGCACCTGGAAGGTAGGCCCAGGGGAAGGACAGTGGACGACACTTCAGGGCGACTTCGGTACCAGGGGTGCTGGCAGCCAGAGCTTTGGGGCCATTACCTGGATATTTTCTTCGAATCCACCCCATTCTGGACCAGCCCCGCTTCGGGTCCCGCCGCCCGGCACGGCTGTAGTCGCCATGTCCCTCAAGGGTTCCCGTCGCTGAAGCTCACGCGAGCCTCGCGCGCCTAAAAGGAGCCGGCAAGGGGGTGGACCGGGGCAAGAGACAGTATCCGAGCGAGGTAGTATCTACCGGACCTCCAAGGCGAAAACCCGGATGTTTGGCCCAGACTGACTTCCGGAAGCTGTGGACGTGGCCGGGGCGGACACAGGGTCTCGCGATATTTCCAACGTGAGGAGGCGGAGCGTTGCTACGGTTACGGAGGTAGGCTGGTAGGAAGGAAGTGAGCGAGTGAGGACTCGGTCTCGCGGAGCGATTGAAGATGGCGGCTTCCCAGGCTGTGGAGGAGATGCGGAACCGCGTGGTTCTGGGGGAGTTTGGGGTTCGCAACGTAAGGGCATGTCGGGGAAAGATTGAGACCGGAACAGGGTTGGTTGGGGTGGGGATCAGAATGAGGATGGGGCTGGGCCCCACTGCCCTTTGCTGGAGAGGTTTCTGTCTTTGCCCTAGGTTCATACCACGGACTTTCCTGGTAACTATTCGGGTTACGACGATGCCTGGGACCAGGATCGCTTCGAGAAGGTGGGTGGGGCCGGACCGCATGATCTAAGCAGCCTGTGCCACAAACTGCTCCTGAGGTCGTCCCGATAAAGTTAATTGAGCCGTTTCCTGGGCGCTCCGTGGAGAGGCCAAGTTAGTTTTTGCAAAAAAACAAAAACAAAAACTTAGCTTTGGGAAGTAGCATTCGTAAACGAGTGATTACTGTAAGCGTGGCAAAGGCAGTTGATAGGGATCTAGACGGCGGGGATAGCGTAGGGGATCATCCTGCAGACAGAGGCTTGCAGTTTTAGACAGGCAGAGGGTAGAGATATGTAAAATTTTGTGGAGTTGACATCTGAATGAGTCTTTGAACAATGAGTAAAATTTGAGAGCAGTAAAGAGGAGTAAGAACAGGAGTTAGCTGTGTGAGGTGTCCCCAGCAGCTCGGTGTCGCTGGCATGTTGCGGAGCCAGCATGAGTGGTCGCAGAATCAAGCGTGTCTTGGGCCCTGTAGGTGACAGAGCGTTAGCAGTTTTTAAGGAGCACGACCCCACTGCAGTTGTGTTGGCTGGGAGGCCATGGGTTTGAAGATTATACCTGACAAAGCAAATCTATTAGGTTATATACGGTGCTGAGATTGAAGGCCAGAACTGAGACTATGGTGTCAGGGGATGGCAAGTAAATTTTCAGTTGCTTTTGCTAAGGGTTGAGGCTGGGATTGTAAAATTGCTTGGGGACCTGCTGTGATGAATGATATTCCCATTTACTAGTAAAGGGGACTTGATCAGGGAACAGGGATGATGGTGCAGTTTCCTGTCTAGTGGGCTATTAGTGTTTGAAAGGAGATCTGAAGTGAAAGATGATTTTGTGTGTTGCCAGTAGCAGTAGTTATGGATGAGGGAGACAGCCAGAATCTAGAAAAAATTTAACATTTAGGAGGTGGGTATAGTGAATTTAGGACTCATTAGAGAAGGAACAGACCAGGACTGGTGTTCAGAAACAGCAGGTAATAAAGAGCTTGGAAAAGGAGAGATTTTTGCTGGGTGTGGTTGTGGATTCTTGTAATTCCAGCACTTAGAAGGCTGAGACAGGAGGATTGCCATGAATTTGAGACTAGCCTGGGCTGTGTACTTAGTTAGGGCCAAGCTGAACTATATGATGAGACCCTATTAAGAAAACAAAAAAAAGCAGGTATGGTGTGCACTGGGAGGCCGAGGCAGGAAGACTGCTGAGTACCAGGCCAGTCTGGCCTAGAAAATGAGTTCAAGGCCAGCCTGAACTGCATAGTGAAATCCTGTCTCAAAAAAACAAAGCAAAGGAGGACAAAGAACATCTTAATAAAGGTCATATGTGCAGAGGGAAGTTTTTGAATGAGAGGAAGTTAGTATTTTGAAATGTGCAGAACTGTTGTGGAGAGGATTTTTGATCACACAGAGAAGCAGATGTCATGTTTTACTGTTTTTCTTGTCTCTAGAACTTCCGTGTAGATGTGGTACATATGGATGAAAACTCATTGGAGTTTGACATGGTGGGAATCGATGCAGCAATTGCCAATGCTTTCCGGCGAATTCTTTTAGCAGAGGTATAGCAGGGGTGGAGATGTACACCAGCACCTTGCTCATAAAATGTTTCAAGCTGTCCCTTCCCCTTATTTTCTCTAGAACTTTACTAAGCTTTTCTTCCCCTTTGTAGACTTTTTATTAATCATCTTTCTCAGAAGGGGTCCCTATCTTGGGCAGCAGCCAGGTGGAGTCTGGTGGGTTTTGGCCCATGGGTCACTGTTTTCTTGAACAGGTACCAACAATGGCTGTGGAAAAGGTCTTGGTGTACAACAACACATCCATTGTCCAGGATGAGATCCTTGCGCACCGTCTGGGGCTCATTCCTATTCATGCTGATCCTCGGCTTTTTGAATTTCGGAATGAAGGTGAGTGGCTTAAAATGAATTTTTGTTTTAGATAAGGTCTAGCTGTAGAGTTCAGGGCGGCCTTAAACTCACTACGTACCCCAGGCTGGCCTCGAACTTGCAGCACTTTTCCTGCCTTCAGCCTCCTGAGTGCTGGGATTACAGGTGTGTGCCACCATGCCCAGCAAAGAAAATGAGGAACGAGTGTGTCTTCAAGTACATTCTATAATCAGACGGCCTGGGTTTAGGTCCTAGACTGACCACTGGGTGATGTAGGATAGGTTATTCTTTTTTGGTCCATCAGCTTGTTTTGTGTGAGAATGCTTGCCCTAACCTTCCTAAGTTTGTCAGAAAGATTGAGAAAATGTAAAGCTGTGTATGTAAGAAAATGTATTGCCTGCCTCTCAAATGTTACTAGTTCCTTCAGAAGCTGCCATTCTCCATTTTTTGTGCAGGAGATGAAGAAGGCACAGAGATAGACACACTGCAATTCCGGCTGCAGGTCAGGTGCACCCGGAACCCCCATGCTGCTAAAGATTCCTCGGATCCCAACGAACTCTATGTGAACCACAAGGGTGAGCAGCAGGTTAGGAAGAGGGCTCATGTGCTGATGGGGGCTGGTTTTTAGAATGGGGCCATCCTACACATTTTTCCTGCAGTGTACACCAGGCACATGACATGGGTCCCCTTGGGGAATCAGGCTGATGTTTTCCCGGAGGGCACGATCCGGCCAGTGCACGATGACATCCTCATTGCCCAGCTGCGGCCCGGCCAGGAGATTGACCTGCTTATGCACTGTGTCAAGGGCATTGGTGAGAACTGTGAGCCCACCCAGAGAGGGGGAGCGGGGGCAGGCTTGTGGTTTGATTTGAAGTATGGCAAAGGAACTCAGTGGATGTTGCTAACAGGTAGAAAGCAGATGGGTTTGTATCACCAGGGTGAACAAAGGTTCCTATGAGCTGATTCCTCTGTCCAGGCAAAGATCATGCCAAGTTTTCTCCAGTGGCAACAGCCAGTTACAGGCTTCTGCCGGATATCACCCTGCTTGAGCCTGTGGAAGGCGAGGCTGCAGAGGAGCTCAGCTACTGCTTCTCACCTGGTGTTATTGAGGTACAGGAAGTCCAAGGTATGGCATGGGCCATGGTGCCTATGGGACCTAACATGTTTTGTTTTAAGATGGCAGGGATATAAAAGCTCTAGGCTCCTAACAGAAGAAATGTGATATGCTTTGTTTTCATTAGGTAAGAAGGTGGCCCGAGTTGCTAATCCCAGGCTGGACACCTTCAGCAGGGAAGTCTTCCGGCATGAGAAGCTGAAGAAAGCTGTGCGGCTCGCCCGTGTCCGGGATCATTACATTTGTGAGTAGATCAGGGTTGGGTGTGTCGGGACTGGAGAGCTCTCTGGTGCTGTCTGGCTGAAGTGTCCTTCTGGTCCCCAGTTTCTGTGGAATCAACAGGAGTGTTGCCACCAGATGTACTGGTGAGCGAAGCCATCAAAGTGCTGATGGGGAAGTGCCAGAGGTTCCTAGATGAGCTGGATGCCGTGCAGATGGACTGAGGCTGGGATTGGCTGCCTCTGATGGTTCCAGGGGACTGCTAGACCCATGGGACTACAGGTCCAATTTCAGTTTTTGGTCAAATCAATACATTTTGTTAAATGTGCCACAGAATGAGACTTCTAATGCCTTTGTAAGGCCCTTAATGTAAATAAATCTGTCCAAAACTTCTTTTGAGACTGTTTCCAGATTTGACATTTAGCAGTAGGCATTGGGTTTGCTGCAGGTGAGGGCGTAGATCCTTCTAACCCTTTGAGAAAAAAGCCAGACTGAGGTGGTCTGGCAGCATAGCCACACCCCTTAGGAAGATACAGGAGCAGCCAGAGTACATGTTCCATCTCACCTATTTGCAGGAAAGGTTGGGTAGGAAGAAGGGTTTTCACTGCAGTCCCAAGCCATGCACATTGACAGCTTCACATCACAGAGAAAGAGCAGCAGCTTCCTCTGCAGGCTGTTGGCCAGCCCAGGAGGTACCGAGAGCCTGGGGGGTTAGGCTGTCTCCTAACCAGTGTACCATTTTAGCACGCTTCACTCCAAGTCAGCCAGGCACAGGTCCTCACCTTCCATGGCAGGACGCCACCCTTGAGCAGGCAACCAGGACTGCAACTCTGGTTTCAGGCCTTGTTTGAAAAAGGCGGATGAGGCCCTTTCTGTATGAAACAGATTTTTACTGACATGCAGATGTGCTTTAGAGTTAACATTTCTACAAAAAGTTTCTATAAACAATAGAAAATTTCTAGCATGAGGTCACAGGATGTTAAAAATATTACAACACAATAAATACTACACCCTCCACAGCCCCAATCAGAGAGGAGTAGGCAGTTATCAAGTATGGAGGGAAATACTCTGAGATCACCTTCATAATCAACAGACTCCTCAAACACTGCACAAGAAGCGGGCACGCGTGCAGCAGAGCTGGCACTGTTTTCCCAGTGTCTCTTCCCACCCATACTGTGCCGAAGCCTCTTAGCTGGATAGCAACTGGACGTAGACCTGTCCGGATGGTGCCCGGTCATCCCAGGGCGAGGTCCCATCTCCATGTTCCCTCTGCTCTGGGGCCTTCCAGTGACCTCTAGGGTGGACTCGGGACAGGTTGTGATGGGAAGGCAAAAACTTTTTCTTTTAGAATTGGTCCTTGAGACAAGTGACCAGGGACCTGAAAGGCCGTGAGAATTTTAAAG